TGCCCAGGCTGGGAGCCACCACGTGCCCCCACCTGCCCCCACAGTGCAGCCTCTGCACCGCTGAACATTTGGGACATCTGAGAGATTTGGGTTAAAAAAGATAAAAAAAGCAGAAAAAGGCTAAATCAGTTCTATGGGAAAATTTGATTGTCTTTTTTTTTTTTTTTTTTAAACCTGGCTTATTAGGGCTGGCTTTCCTTTTTAAAATTATTATTCAAGTTCTAAGATCAGCCATAATTATCATCCCCCCCAAAAAAAGAATTCAGAAAAGCTACATTTTGTTGGAATAACGCAATCCTTTAACATCTACCAATCACTAGAAACTATAGGATTGCTGATTTGCTGGCTAGCAAATATATTGTTTTTTATTTTTTTTAAATGTTACTTATTTATTTGTTGACACAGGTCTCACTGTGTGGCCCAGGCTAGAAATGCAGTGTAGTCTCAGCTCAGTGCAGCCCCGACCTCCTGGTTCAAGCAATCCTCCTCCCTCAGCCTTCCAAGTAGCTAGGACTACAGGCACAGGCACGTACCAACACGTGTGGCTAATTTTTGTGTTTTTTTATAGAGACAAGGAATTGCCATGTTGCCCAGGCTGACCTTGAACTCCTGGGCTCAAGAGATCCACCCATCTCAGCCTCCCAAAGTGCTGGGATTACAGGTGTGACCCACTGTGCACAACCATCTACTATCTGATTAATTTTTACTACTTAATTTTCCCTGATCTCTTCTGATCGTGTGATTAGAATACTATTAATCGATAAGTAGAATTACTATTAGTTTAAGACAGCGATGCTACCTGTGTACTAGATACTTCAGTGATGTGCTGGTAAAATGATGTGATCAAGTTTGCACAACTCCCAAGTGGCAGAGCCTAAGTTGGAAGTCATATGCTTTTTCCGCCTATAACCAGCAAAATTTAGTGTGGAAATTAGCATGCATATGAAGTTCTTAAGAAAAAATGACATATCAACTGTATACTTTTGATTCCTATATAATGATACTAAAATCCAGGATTTGGCAGCTGTGCACAGAGATCTCTCTGTAGCTGGTCTACTTTATGTGGTTTGCTGAAGGAGACATTCAATCAAATATGTTTGAGTCCTTCACTAGGAATGTCTCATTAAACAAAAAGGCACATGGAAAAGACGAAGACAATCAAGCCATAGAAGAGACCCATCCCTAGCCGGCTCATTCTGCAAAAGACGGGTAGCAAAGTCTGTGTGGGAAGCCCACACACCTCTGGCATTCCAGTATTGAACAGTTGCTAAGTGTGTTTACTATCTCCAAGGAGCCCCTGAGATACCCAAAACAGCCTCCTGGTCATTTTCCTGCGGCAGGAATTTAAATCCTAAGGCAAATGTGGGGAACGCTTAGCCAAGAGGCAAGCCTTGCTGATCAGCCAGCCTCTGCGGCTAAACTCAGCTTTGTAGCTCTCTCTCTGCCAGGGTCCACATATTTTAGGAAAAATAATTGTATGCTCTAGCAATATTAGCAAATGTGGGATCTTAATCTATGAGATTAAAATGAGAACAGCCAGGAGGAAATCCGCCCCGGTGATCCGGTCACCTCCCACGAGGCCCTTCCTCCCACATGAGATTTGGGCATGGATACAAATCCATACCATTTCAGAGGCCGCTTGGAAAGCTAGAGGCTGTGAGAGATGATGTTGGACCAGTGGGGAACCATGGAAGCAAAGGGAAGTCATGGAATTCTCAATTTTGAAGATAGAGCCAATAGATTTGTAAGAAATTATGTTTCAGTACAAAAAAGGGTTGCAGGGAGAAGCAGCCTGCTGGGGACACTGTGTCCTCAGATCCAGTTAGGGCCGAAGATAAAGGAGAGGCTGAGAGTACAGGAGGATGATGTTGTTTATGCCTCTTGGAATTAAAGTAACATGATGTGCAGAGTGGGCCATTTGCTGGTGTATTGTCACACCTCCTCTGCATTCTACCTGATGCTTTGAGGTCAGCATTAAGCTAAGAGCTTTAGCCTGACACTGATAGCTCTTTGCTAGATGAACAGAGAAGATTCTTAAGGGTGTGAGTCAGGAGTGAAATCCCAGCTGGGACAGAGAGTCCTTCTCGGCCCCGAGAGAGACTGTTTATAACATTGGAACACAGAAAGAGAAACTGGGACAACTTTTTAAAGAAGCAAATATTCTTACCTTGTACGATGATGCACTTACTCTCCAAAGAAATATTTTCTTTTAGTTTAAATCATTGTCAGTGTTTGGAGTGTGCTCTTTAGGAATTCACCTCCTTATCTTATAATTGATGGCTATTTAAGAAGCTTGAAATTAGCTGTTTTGTGGCTTCTACTTTTCAGCCAGCAAGTGAGTTCAGACTTGGTGACAGAAGAGAACTTGAAATGGAATACCTTGCTGGGAACACTCACTCTGGCCCTTTCTTTCATTGTTGCCTTTTAGTTTATTTTCAGAAGATACCTGATTTCTTATTCATGCGGTACCAAATATAAGAATCCAGGGTTACTTATTTTTTTTCTTGTTTACTAATAAATGTGCTCTGTGCTGTGTTCTTTTTAAAACAATGTAGTTGATGCATAATATGCATTTCCCTAATATGCATTTCCATAACTTCAAAAAGTATAGTCTTGCCCTTTGGGTTCAACTCGCCCCAGCCCTGGGCAGCCACGGATCTGCTTTTAGTCACAATAGATTACATTCACCTTTTCTAGAACTTCATATAAATGGATTCAAACAATACATGCTCTTTCATGTCTGGTTTACTTGGCTCAGCATAATATTCTTGAGATGCTTCCATACTGTTGCTCCCGTATCAGATTTTTCTTCTTGGTTTTTTTGAGAGGGAATCTCGCTTTGTTACCCAGGCTGGAGGGCAGTGGCATGATCCTGGCTCACTGCAACCTCCGCCTCCTGGGTTCAAGCGATTCTCGTACCTCATTCTCCCGAGTAGCTGGGAGTACAGGCACCTTCCACCATGCCTGGCTAATTTTCGTATTTTTAGTAGAGGTGGGGTTTCGTCATGTTGGCCAAACTGGTCTTGAACTCCTGACCTCAAGAGATTCACCTGCCTCGGCCTCCCAAAGTGCTAGGATGACAGGGATGAGCCAACATGCCCAGCCATGATTTTGTTTCTGTTTATTGCTGAATATTATTCTTTTATGTGTACTTAACACAGTTCACTTGTCTGTGGACACTGGAATTGTTTCCAGTGTGGGCAAGTTATGAATAAAGCAGCTACAGGCATTTATACACAAGCCTTGCGAAGGTACACTGTCATTTCTCTTTGGTAAATACCTGGGAGAGGAATGGCTGGATCCTCTCTGATAGGTGCGCACACATTACGCTTGTGATGTCTTTTTGAGGAATTGACTCATTTATCACAATGAAATGTCTTTTATCCTGGCAATATATTGCTCTGGTGTCTACTTTGTCTAATATTGATTTTAGTCACTCCAGCTTTCTTGACGTTAGTGTTGGCATGGTACATCTCCTCCATTCTTTACTTTGAAAGTGTCTCTATTTAAAGTGTGTTTGTTACAGGCAGAATCTGCTTAAGACTGTTTTTTAAACCCAAACTAACAATCCCTGTTATTTCATTAGAATTTTTAGATCATTTACAATTAGCTATCAGAATAGTTGGACTTGAGCCCCCCATCCTCCTCACTGTTTTCTGTCTGTTCTTTTGTTCTCCTTTTCCTGTTGTCTTTTGAATTGAATGTACTTTGATGTGTTAGGTTGTGGCCACACTGGCTTACTCGCTGTCCCTCTTCATCTCATTATTTAGCTTTTTGGTGTTTCCAGGAACGTCGAGGTCCCTGAAGTCTTGATGCCCTCACCTCAGCAAGAGCACCATGGTCTGCTTGGGTCCCCCTCCTAGCGCTGCAGTTCAGAAGGGACCTCCAGGCCAAGAGCTGGCCCCTCCTGGGATCCCCCTGGTTTATTTTCCTTCTCTGAAAGACCACAGCCCTTTCCATGTCTGAAAACAGATTCATAGAACGTGTTTGTCACACTTCCTGGTTGTTTATGGTGAGACATTGAGTCCGGCCCTTATTATTGCATTACGCTCTTGAAGTAGAAGTTCCTTTTTGAAATAAAATATTTGGCTCTTGGTGGGAAAATCGGTTAAATGTTTGAAACTGAGACTCCCAGTCAAATCTTAGACATAACGCCTTTGTTATAACTTCCTAGTGCAGTACAGATATGATGGTTGCTTCCAGGTTACCCATAACAGCACAGGCACATCTAAGAAGCTTTAGAAAAGACTGTATCCGTACAGTTTGCGGTGAGGATAACAGTTATTGAGCCCCTTGGTGCTCAGTGCTCTACCTATGCGCTCTCAGGTCGTCTACGGAATGACCCTGTGCAGGTCATGCTTGGCCGCCTTTTACGGGCAAGGAGCCGAGCCTCAGAGGTGAAGGGATTTGTCTGGTGCCTTACACATGGTGGTGGGCTGAGCTGGTTGTAGTCTGCCACACTCCAAGCTAAAGCTTTTGACCACTACACGAAGGTGAGTAAGGAGTTTTTTTTGGTTTTTGTTTTTGAGAAAGGGTCTTGTTCTATTACCCAAGCTGGAGTTTAGTGGTGCGATCTTAGCTCACTGTTGCTTTGAACTCCTGGAATCACGCGATCTTCCCATCTTAGCCTCCAGAGTAGAGTCGTGTACCGTCATACCTGGCTAGTGTTTTTTGTTGTTGTTGTTGTTGTTGTTTTTTGAGATGGAGTTTCGCTCTTGTTACCCAGGCTGGAGTGCAATGGCGCGATCTCGGCTCACCGCAACCTCCGCCTCCTGGGTTCAGGCAATTCTCCTGCCTCAGCCTCCTGAGTAGCTGGGATTACAGGCACGCGCCACCATGCCCAGCTAATGTTTTGTATTTTTAGTAGAGACGAGGTTTCACCATGTTGACCAGGATGGTCTCGATCTCTTGACCTCGTGATCCACCCGCCTCGGCCTCCCAAAGTGCTGGGATTACAGGCGTGAGCCACCGCGCCCGGCCTTTTTTTGTAGAGACAGGATCTGGCTGTGTTGCCTAGGCTGTTTCAGACTCCTGGCTTCAAGCGATCTTCCCCGCTAGCTTCCCAAAATGCTGGGATTATGAGACACTGAGCCCTACTAAACTAAGTTTTTGAAATGTCTTAAGGGGCAGCAGGAGAGTCAGGTTAAGTGCTGCTGGAACGTCCATGAAGTGGTTGGTTTCTTCCTGAGGTAGCTGCTGTTGCCAGGAGAAAGCGTTATGATTCATTTCCCACAAAAGTGGTTCCGTCTCCCCCTCTCTCTTCCTTTACTCTCTCCTGCTCCCTGCTTTCCTTCCTTTACTCTTCCTTTCTTTTGCCTTTTTTTTTTTTTTTTTTTTTTTTTTTTTTTTTTTTTTTTTTTTTTTTTTTTGGTTTTAAGGAGCCGAGAGTTTAGGCAAGAAGGGACAAGAAGGAAGGGAGAAGGAAGAAGCTCCCCTGAACCGAGACAGAGGGAGGGACACTCCAAAGCAGAGAGGGACCCCAAGTGGGGCAGAAACCTGCCCCGTGCATAGAGGCTGGAGGAGGGTGGTGACTGATTTGCATAGGGCTCATGGGATTGGTTTGACCAGACGTGTCATTCATGTAGCCCATGAAAAAGCTGGCCCTGCCACCCTAGCCTTTTAATATGCAAATGCAGGGCACCAGGATATTCTACAGGCATCGGGATTTGTGGGGGTAGCCATGTTGCCAGGAACTTGTGGGGCAAGGGCAAAGAGGCTTTCCCGGTACCACCTGTTGGGTGGACTCAGTTTCTAATGACCTGCATTTACATATCAAAGGTTACCCGCCTGGCTCTAAGGGCAGGGGCTTTACCAGAAACTTTTCTGGAGATGCTTTAAAAAATGAACACTTCCCAAGGACCCCTTTTTCTCTCTATCTGCCTAAAATAATTTCTTAGTAACTTCAACAACATTCCCCCCTGTGGAGATGCCACACTAACTGCTGTTAGGAGGTTTAGGGCGATGACTCTTTCTGGCTACTTCCTGCTGAGAAGGGATGTGGATTGGGGAACCGCAGCTAGGGCACCTCCTGGGGTCCATCTAAGGGTCCTCGGAAGAATGGCGTGTCTATGTGTGGTTCAGTTTACAGCACCATTTGGAATTTGATTGCTTCTAGGCGAGAAGAAACATTCAAGTTATAGTATTGAATATCCAGGGTACAAATATTAATACAAGACATACAAGTGAGAGAGAGCTTAATAAAGGGGTGAACGAATTCTATAAAGAAGACTGGAATTCATTAAAGAGGAATTGTAGCCACTCGGGGCTGAAGCCGGCATTTCCCCTGAGCCTGTCAATCATTTTGATTTGATTTTTAAGTACCTATAGATTCTTCTTTACTATGTTAGAGGTGTTAATCCAAAAGTAGCATGTTTCATTTAAAAGTGCATCACTAGGCTGGGTGCCATGGCTCATGCCTGGAATCCTAGCACTTTAGGAGGCCGAGGTGGGTGGATCACGAGGTCAGGAGTTTGAGACCAGCCTGCCCAAGATGGTGAAACCACATCTCTACTAAAAATACAAAAATTAGCTGGGCGCGGTGGTGGGTGCCTGTAATCCCAGGTACTCGGGAGGCTGAGGCAGGAGAATTCCTTGAACCCGGGAGGCAGAGGTTGCAGTGAGCCAAGATCGCACCACTGCACTCTAACCTGAGTGACAGAGCAAGACTTCCTCCCAAAAAAAAA